ATACAGTGACAGACAGCCTAAGAAGAGAGAACTGAGACACACCAACATGTAGAGATGGAGGAGATTCCCCAAAACAATTCATCAAAGAAGCAGCAAGAAGCTAAGAGGAAGAAGAAAAACCTGAGAATTAGCTAGAACTGAGCCACTCAATATATGCACTACTGGCTGCTTGTGGCTGCTCCTCTTGGCTTATGGCTCCTGAATGAGTAGGCAGCTAAGAACATCCATCACTAATGATGGTCTTGAACTAAAAGCCAGCTGGAGAAAGTATGGCAAGGATGCAGTGTCAAAAACTTTAAAAAGTAACTCTAGAATCAAGACCTGGTTCTTGGGTTGGCTGTTAATCACCAGTGAGCAGTTTCGGCAGGATGGGAGGCAAAAGTCTGAGAGAAGCATATTTGGAACAACCCAGAAAAGATTTGATATCAAGAAATGTAGAATTTGCAAATGACTCAAGTGAACTTTCTACAAAACATTTTCTGTTACTATTCCAAAGATAAGCACTTGAATCTTCAGTAAATGCTATGTTAAAACACCATGGACCATGCCAGGCAGTGGCACACGCCTTTAATCCCAGCACTTGGGAGGCCGAGCCAGGTGGAGCTCTGTGAGTTCGAGGCCAGCCTGGTCTAGAGGGAGATCCAAGACAGGCACCAAAACTACACAGAGAAACCCTGTCTCAAAAAAACTAGAAAAAGAGCTGGGCAGTGGTGGGCACGCCTTTAATCCCAGCACTCAGGAGGCAGAGACAGGCAGATCTCTGTGAGTTCAAGGCCAGCCTGGTCTACAAAGAGTTCCAGGAAAGGCGCAAAGCTACACAGAGAAACCCTGTCTCAAAAAACAACAAAAAAAAAGTGAAAACACCATGGACCAGTTCTTTTCAACCCTAATGGAAGCACCTGAAAAGTTAAGACAAAGTGATCTGGAGCCCACCTCCATGGACCTTGACACTATTTATTTGTGAGTTTTTTCTCTTTTTCCACAACCACTTTACACCAAAAAGAATATTAATGCATGGTGATGTCCAACCACAGTCAAAGTCATCTAGGATTTCATCTGTGGGAGCATTTGTAACATGGTCATGCATACGTGCTGAAAGAATGAATAATGAAGCATCACACACAGTAAATGCTTCTTCCGGGAATTTAGAGACTGAAGATGCTAAGTCATTAGCACTGGGTATTTAAGAAAAGACTAACACTACCCATGCCATACAAACATGTGGTTGTGTCACAAGAGCAGTGAGTTACTTGTATGAGCACTTTATATCATGACTCCACCAAAGACAAACTTTTTAAAGATTGTAAAATGGAATCAGATTCTATACTTCAGGAGATTTTTAAAACTAGAACATCTCCTAAGTAAAAAAAAAATGTGTAATGGTGAATAAAGTGTCATAGGCATTTCTGTGGTTATATATTTCTATGCCTGCACTTTTGAAGAAGAAAAAGGTATTTCAGTGAAAACTTCAATGGGATTGTTTCATTTCAGGTAGGATTGCAAATAAAATGATGCTCGAACTGTTGGTCAAGTGCTTGCAGAATTGCTTGTTTTCAAGAACCCACATTTTTGTTTTTTAAAGGGTATAGGGGCCCAGTGGAGACTGGGATCCCTAGGTCTCACTGGCTGGGCAGCCTGGCCACTCAGAGAGCTCTGGGAGAGAGAGGGAGAGAGAGGGAGAGAGAGGGAGGGAGAGGGAGAGAGGGAGAGGGGGAGAGAGAGAGAGAGAG